CTAAGGACTGGTGGAAATGTGAAGAATAAGAATTTGTCCCCTAGGTTGGAATTGTCGCTCAGTACGTAGGGAGGTTAGATAGGCAGGTATTAGGTGATAAAGTTAGAGATTATCCTAACCCTTGGTGATCGCATAAAATGTTATAGTTTAAAAAAATGTAGCTATAGTCCCAACACTTGGGGGATATGGGCAGAAGGGTCAGGAGTTCAAAACCAACCTCTGCTGCATAGAGTTAGAGGTCAGTGTGGGTCACATAACATCCTGTCTGAAAAAATAAAAGAAACAATGCATAAAAATACTGTAAGTATTTGTTTTTATCAAGGACACTGTGGCTAGTTTACAATGAGATTGGAGATTAGAGCTGCCTTAAGACTTGCAAGGATAGATATGCAAAGAAAAGTATCTACAGATTTCATCATACTAAAACTCTAATATATTATAGACCATTATAAGTGCTTGCCCCCAGTAACTTGCAGTTTAAAAAAGGGAGTGCTTTAGCATACTATAGAAGAAAAGAGAATTACACAGGTAAAATCTTGTTAAATCTAAAAAGAAGAAAATAAACTCCTAAAATATTACCCACAAAACACAATCCCTATCATATTTGGGGTATATTTGTTTCTATTGTCCTCTAGACAAGCAACATGTATGCATATATGCATTATACATTGTTGCATATACCACAAATACACACATGTTATCCATATGTGTTTACCTTCTTGGGGTATTAATTATAGGCTTTAAACTCATTACTAAACTTTTTGTAATGCCTTTAAACAATTTGTGTATGTGTACACACATGTACCATAATGTGAAGTGAAGGTCAGAGGACAATCTGGGATGGTTAGTTCTCTCCTTCTGCCACCTGGATCCTAAGGATGAGGTTACCAGGTCCAGAGGCAAGAGGTTGGTTTTAGCTGCTAAGCCATTTCACTGACACAAATTTCATTCTTGAAAGTGCAAATCAGACTGTGGATGTAGCTCAGTTGGTAGAGTAGTTGTCTGGCATGGGACAGGCCCTGGGTTCAATACCCAGTGCCCCTCCTAAAAAAAAGTACAAAACCTATGAATTTGAGTAAGTGTACTTCAGTTGTTACCAGAAATAGATCTAAAATATCCCTTTGTCCCATAAACTTGCCTTGTACCCTTCATCCTGCACTCCCTACCCCCCTATTCCAGGCTAGCCCCCTATTCCAGCTTATTCCAGATGACCACTGAGCTCACTTCTGTGGCCTCAAGCCAGTTTTTCCTGTTCTGAGAATTTGTGTTCATGGAATCACATGTGTGTTCTTTTCTCTCTGGTCTCTATTGCTCATCAGGATGTTTTTGATGTTTAACATATGATCCTGTAAGTGTCAATAATTTCTTCAGTTTTATTGTTGACTTTTGTTCCAAAGAAAAGTCCACTGAACTGGTTAATCTTGTCCCTATTAATGGACATCTGGATTGTTTCTGGGTTGGGGCTACAGTGTGTGGCGATGCTATGAGCATTCTGCACAGGTCTTTCTTGTCTTGTGGATGTGCTGCCTTTATCTTTGGGAAATGCCCAGGAGTGATGCTGGGCCATAAGATAGGTGTGTATGTCCAACTTTAAAGGAAGCCACCAATTTTCCAAAGTAGTTGTACTGTTTTCCATTAAATGAAAGTTGTGGTTGACCAGGGTACTTGTCAGCCCTTAGTATGGCTGCTCTTTTGGTTTTACCCATCCTGGTAAGAATGTGTTGGCTTTAATATGCATTTCCCTAATTATGGTACCATTTTTATAGGCAAGTGTTTTCATAATTATAATTGTTTGTCTGCTCTGCTATTTAAATTCATACTTCGTGTTCTTCTGTTACCCACAGTCTTCATAATCACTATATTAATGACTCCTAATAGTCTAACAAGAGAATTCTTTGCAATTTACTTAATTACCCTTCTATTAAAATTTAAATTATTTCCAATTTCTCACAATTCTAAATAGCACTAATGTTAACATTTTAGTCATAAACTTCCCTCTATGTTTTAGATTTATGCATTCAAATATGTACTATGTATATATTTTCCACATTTTGGATTATTTTCTCCAAATAAATCATAGGCATGAAATGATCTGCCATAAGCATTTTCTCGGGCTGGAATGTAGCTCAGGGATAGACTTTGTACCTAACACACATAAGGTTTTGGAGCTGTTTGCCACACCATAAAAGAAAAAAAATAACACTTCACCTTTTCTTTTTCTCTCTCTCTCTCTCTCTCTCTCTCTCTCTCTCTCTCTCTCTCTCTCTCTCTCTCTTCTTTCTCTCTCCCTCTCTCTGTCTACTGTGTTTCTCAGACTGGCCTTGAACCTAGCACCCTCCTGCCTCAGTTTCCTGAGTGCATAGGTTATAGGCACATAGCTCTATAATTTCCGCCAATTTCCTTTTGACCCCTGGCTATGGGTGAATGGTTGACAATGGTCCTGATAGTGCCCTGGTTCCATAGGTGTCATGCTGTCTTGAGCCAAGTGAAAATGGGGGGAAGAGGAACTTTCCAGAATTCCCACATATGAATTATATGGTTGGAGGAAATGGATTTGAGGCATATTTTCTTGCCGTACACATTTCTGTTGGGTTGTGTATGGATTTAAGGGTGATGGAAATGAGAGAGGACACCATGAGAGGAGCTGTTGGGGGAGGGGCGACAGGACGGGACTGAAGTCCCCAGCAGAGGCAGTGGGGGAATTGGATTGATCCTATTATGATACATTTGGAAGGCTGGACAAACTCTAGTGCAGGGTACCAAGGAGAGCATCCTAATTCTGTCCCCCAGCACAGGCACAGGCCCTTCTCAAGCACTCTCCAATCTTCCAACACTCCTCAAACATTTGGGCGAGAGTGTTGCCACATATGCTGAGTCCCACCTCCACATTCTTATTTCAAGTGGGGCAGGCGAGCACAGGGGAAGTGTGTGAATCCCTCAGCTGTCGTGGGCAGTATGAGAAGCCTCCCCACGTGGGGGAAAAGGCCTTTGGGCTAGGTTTCCATGCCCCCGCCCCCAGCATACCTACTGTGTGTTTCCTCAAGGTAGTCTTGACTGAACTCCAAAGAGCAACCAACAGAATGCCTCCAACTGCCCAGGGACCTTACTCTTGCCTGCTATTCCCAGACCTTCCACGTTATTCTAGGACAGCTCATGTTTCTCTTCCTAATTGTGCCCTTCTTAGGGCCTGGGATGTAGATCAGAATAGCATTTCTCTAACATGTGTAAAACCCTGGGTTCCATTCCTCAGCCCTTACAAAAGCCTGACCAAGATAGGATCTGAGCCAGGTGTGGTGGTACATACCTGTAATCCCAGCACTCCCAGGAGGTAGAGCCAGGAGGACCAGGAGTTCAAGGTCATCCTCTGCTACACAGTAAGTTCAAGGTCAGAGTAGATTACATGGGACCCTCTAAAAATATTAAAAAATATTAAAAAATGTGACCCTCCAAGGACACACAGCATTTCTTATTCATGTCTTAGGCTGATTCCCCCTGAGATGAGGACTCAGAGAGCAGTAGTCTGGGGCTTATTCCTAAGGGGATACTGGGCAGAGTTGGCACAGCAGAGACAGAGGAGGAAAGCAAGAAACAAGTTATGAAGCTACTCCTGTTGTGGGTACCAAGGGTTCAGACCTATGTGGTCCTCTGCCATTTCCATTACATGTTCACCACTGGTTGAGGGCGTTCAGATGGAATGACTGACAGTTTGTGACAATGCTCACTGCCAACTGTGGGCAGGATGGGCTGCTGTAGGAGGCTCTGGAGCAGAGATATAGCATGGCAGCTGTAAGTCAGGCTGCTCTTGCTGAACAGCCAAGAGGCTGTGGGCAGGGCCCTTGACACCAATGGGGAGGCCCCCATCCGGGCTCAGGCTAGCCAGTGAACAGATCTTCAACAAAGTACAGGCTCTGCTAGCTTTGGTCTCAAAGGCACAGCTCCTGTTTGTTCTCCAGAAACCTCAAAACCCTGCCATCAATCGGCTCGAGTATTTTAAGATCAAACCCAGGGGACCAGCACTCCTCACTTGCCCCCGAAGTGCATTGTAGTTCCTAGACCCACAGTACCAGCTTTGTCTGCCCGCTAGACAGAATGTACATCTGTGAGTTCTCTCCCAGACCTACTGAATCAAGATGCCTCACGTGGAATCTGCCCTGGAGACTCACTGTTCAGATTCTAAAATTGAGAATAACTCGATTATTTCCAAAATGAAGCATTATAAAAATATATATTTGTGAGGCTGGAGCACGTGTGGGGGTCAGAGGACAACTTGCAGGAACCGGTTCTCTCCTTCGTCATGTGGGTTCTGTGAATCGAATGGGTTATTGGGATTGAGAGCAAACACTTGTACCAATGTCAGTTGGTGGACCCATTTTGAACTCTTTCCATGATAGAATCCCTAAGCACCAGCAGAAAAGGAGGGCTGAGATATCAGGGAATGTTCATTACCTTTGAAGAACTCTTTGCCTTTCAGTCCTACTAATTATAAAGAATTCCTATTTGTTGATTACCACCCACAGAACAGAGTCAGGTACCACAGTAGATGACCTAAAGGACATCTGTGCCAGATTCCATGGGTGTGGGGTGGATTTGTGTCCATTTCCTAAGCTAATGTTTAAATTGTTTTTGCTTGTATGGAGGCCACACCAGGTGAGCAGAAAAGGGGAACATCTGAGATATTGCAGTGGGGGCTGGGGGGTGACAGCAAGAGTGGTGGCAGTAAAAGGAAAAAAAGCTGCCCTAGCATTTTAATGAATCACAGAAATTGCGACAAGTTGGGTGTACACACCAGTCAATTTGTGTTGGTTTAGTCGAGTTGGCCCAGGATAAGCACGGGCAGGGATTGGAGCAGCAAATGGCAGAGGCAGTGTCATACCTGGTCCCACAGGCTTATATTCTCAATAATTCTCAGGCCCTCCTGTCACACCCTGTCCCTGACATCAAGGGCTACCTCAGTAACGTGACATCACAATGTGGCCCATTCAGGGTATGACACTAGTTTATCCCAAGGGCCCAGAATACTTGATTACTGTCCATGTTGAGCACACCTGCAGTTACAGATCCATAGTAGCAAGCCACCTGCTGCCTGCCTCTACCTGACCAGGTACACCCGGTGAGTACTGATACCTTGCTCCTAGGCCCCAGGACCAGGACATACCCAACAGTTGCAAGCTTAATGCTTTGGAGTCCCCTTGTCACATTAGGAAAGCATGGGCCAAGCTGGTAGCTGGGAATATGCATGAATGAGCCCAAACTCATCTTGGGAATGTTGCAACTGTGCTATGCCTGCCTTCTTCTGAGCCTTTTCCTTCAGGCTAACCACCTGGAGGAGGTAGGGCTCAAACCATCACCTGTTTCCTAGGTAAAGGTCACCACACTCTTAGTGGATCCTTGCGGCAGAGGCTAGGTTTGCAGATGGCAAGTCCTCTGGAGTATATTTCCCATCCCTCACCAAGGTCACAAGCAGCTACTGGCTGAACACACTCCTCCCTGCAGGTAGCTTTGTGCAACCAAGCTAGAGAGGCTTGTGATGGTTGTAGAGGAAGGTGGGGGCAAGCTCGGTGCCTAGTACATGTCAGACCATTGGCTTCCATTACTGCTCTTCATCCAGAGCACCGATCTGAGAAGTAGGTTATTCTCACACTTCTCACTGATGAACCAAGGAGCTGAGGACTATATTCTGTGCTGGGTATGTACTTAATGGGGGGCTGTAACCTGAGATGCATATGTGTTCTGTACTAACTGTCCCCAACAAGATTGCTCTGGAAATAGAAGTGAGAAGACATAGGCAAGCCTGGCCTTCTGTCAGTGTGGATGGGGATGGGGATTCTCAACATAAGCAGGACATTAGACTAAAAGATCTTAAAGACCATTTCTAGATCCCACATGGCAGAATTCTGGATCCCATAGCTTGCTTGTGTGAGCCCAGACAAGCCAGGCCTTTCATGACAGTGGTAGAATCCATGTTAGTTTGGGTTAGCCAGAAGGAAAACTAGAGATCAATTGTACCTACCTGCTGGCCCCAAGTGATAATAGCAGCATGAGCTAGTTACCCAGGTTTCCAAAGTCACAAGAACAATCCAGGATTAATACATGTTGAAAAGATGAATGAAGGAACTAGGCCTAGGTACTAGTCAACAACCACACTATTCCATTTTTATTACAAAACTACTATCAATTAGATTATGGTATCAGGCATAGTGGAACATGCTTATGAGCCTGGCCCTCAAGTGATAGAGGCTAGAGGATCAGGAGCTCCGAGTCAACCTCAGCTACATAGAATTCCAGGCCAGCCTGGACTACATGAGAGACCTTGTCTCAAAACACACAAAAAAATGTGACTAAAGTTGGCTTTGGAGTCAATAGTACCAGTGTCCCCATTTCACAGATATACGGTGGTTATAGAGTTGGCCCAAAGCTGAGGTACTTGTCACAAGCATTCAGGTCTTGGAAATAGCAAGGAGACACTGCATCTCTGCTTGCAATTACCCCTGACCTGCACAAACAGCAGTTCCTAATCTTGTCTTTTTTGTTCTGAGTCAGGGTCTTGTGTAGTCCAGACTATGTAGTGGGCCCCCTGCCTCTACTCCCTAGGACTGGGATCACAGTGGTGCAGTGCCATGCCGAGCTTTCTCCATCTCCCTTAGACAACTTTCCCTTGTCTTGCCTGATTCCAAAGTTTGTGCCCCTTGTAGGCTTTGTCCCAGACAGTATCAGGCTCCCCACAGACAGTTTTGGTGCCTGGACGTTTCCTTCTGATGGGACAAGGCAGAGCCAGTATTTCCACACCAACAGATGTTTTGTGCTGGGAAAGAAAATATGCTAATGGAAATGAGCCTTGTCTAATTGTGGCAATTTCCCTTCTGTGTGTTGCCCTGAAATAGTAGCCATGCCCTGTGCTTTTTTTCACATCAGGGAGCCCCAAATTGGTAGCTGAAACGAGGCTGCAGAGGAGTCTGTGAATAGACCTCTGGTGCTACTAATCTGGAGGAAGGCTCCAGCCTGTTTTGTGTGTGACTTGCAGGACCACTCTTACTGCATTTGAATGTTGGTAGACTTAACTGTTCCCCATTGTTGAACACGAAGAGCCTCATTTATCTCATGGAAAATGTAGCCTCCGGGAAATTCATGAAGGACCAAGCCCCATAGCATACGATCTGACCTCTTGAGCCCAAATCTGAGTTTATGTCTGATGTGTCCTATAGCCAGCATGGTCAATAGAACTTCCATCAAATGGGTCAGTTCTTGTGCTAATCAGTAGGGCAGCTGTTAGATCCTGTGAGGCCATGGAGCCTTAAAATGTGACTAGTGGGGCTAAAGAACTGCATTTCAAATTTTAAGTTAGATCACATTGCCAATCTTGGCTACAACTAACTAATAACCTGGACAGGGTAGCTCTAACTCCCGCCCACTTCTGTGATGTCATCTCTGACCTCAGCCCCTCCATTTCCAGGTCTCTCTTAGCTACATTCACTCCCCAGACTGTATATACATTCCAGATTTTCATGTGTTCTTTCTGCTGTTGGTACTGCCGTTTTTGTTTTTTTTTTTTTAGATCATCTCAGGGTCTGTCTCTTTTTTTTTGCCACCACTCACTATGAGGGTTTTAGATCAGGTTTCTCCTGAGAAGGAAGTTTATCTAGTTTATCTAACATTGTCCTCATCCCCACTACAAATCATTCTTTATCTTTCTGAAACCATCTTGGTTTTGTCTCATTTATTGGCCTATCCCGAGAGCTTCATTTCCTCCAGTACGTGGGTGCTGTCTTCTTACCCACCACCTCATGCCTGGGACAGTGCCTGACAGAGTAAGTGTTCAACCAGCATCTTACCTAAGCTAAATGGACACGCTGCAGGCAGTGTAGCGAAGAGAGGTGATCAGGACTTCAGTATGCTTGCTGGATAACCCTAGCAGAGTAGCTTGGTACAGCGAAGGTTACTTATTTCTCCCAATTCTATGGCTCAGAAACTTGGCATTGATATCAGTGAGGGTCACTTGATGTCTTGGTGTGATATCATTGAGGGTCACTTACTCAGCTGCATTCATCTTTGAGCAAAAGCTGAACTAGGTGGCCGGTGAAGGCCTCACTCTCATGTAACATTACCCATGCAGGTAACTTGGGTTTCCTTACATCATCATGGTTGTCTCTGGAACCTTGCTTTTTATGTGACAGTTAGCTTCTAAGAGAGGAAATAAAAGATGCCAGTCAGTTTTCATCACATACATTGATGAAGCCAAGCTATGAAGCAAACCTAAATAAAAAGGATGAGGAAGTTCTTCTTTGCTTGGGTGGGCAGAAAATACATAGGAGGAAAAAATCCACAGCAGTACCTTTTCAGACAACCATGGTTACCACAGTGAGGTAGAGTCTCGTTTGTCCAACCTTTGGGGGCTGCTTAAATCCAGATCTTCTAGGTATGGGTGGAGCCTAAGACTTCATTCTTAGCCAGCTCCAAGACCACGATTGCAGGCATGTCTGTGGGTGCTCTTATATCACAGCCCATCAGGGCTGATTTACACTTAGATTTGTTCCCAGTCCCTCGAATGGACATCCTCCCCTTGAAGTAAGCATTACCTTCCTCTGCTAAGTCCCATGTGCTCAACCCTTTGTTACCTGCACAGGTACCCATATAATATCATGGAGTGGCTTACCTTTTGTGGAATTCCATCCTCGAGGACAATGTGGCCACTGATGTTTCAAAGTCAGCAGCTATGATTATCTTCACAGGACCCTCACAAGATTGAGCCCACTAACATTTCTTCTTGGAGGGGAAGAATGACTCACAAGGCTCAGGAAAGGCAGCTCACAAGCAGGGCTATGAGCAGTTCACAAGGCCTTGCATGAGACTGGGGATATGCCTCAGGAATGGGACCTTTCTCTGACCCTCCCAGATGATGATTAAGGAGTTACACTTGCTGAGGGGGGAGTGGTGGTAGACAGAGTTCAATAGTGTAACATCCGGTAAGTTGCCCACGCCCTTGCAAGTTTAACCCATTGGGTCACCAAGCTGGTCTTTGGTGGAACGGCTTCTTCGGTCTTTTGTTGGCGCCCAATCTAAACTAAAAAGTCTTTGTTCACATCTTCTCAGGGAATGTTAAAAACACAATCCTGTGTCCCAAACACTGCCATACATTCCATCTTTCCTTTAACATTTGGTTCTCATCATGCTTGTAAAACTGGCGGTTAAGGCTTTCACAGTTACAGGATTAGAAACCAAATTCAAACTGCACACAGTCTCTGACATATGACGGTTTGATATATGATATTTCAACCCTTTTTAAACGCTTAAAATTTTATAAGTATTTTGCCTGCATGTACATATGTGTGCCACATGCATGCCTGGTACCCACAGAGACCAGAAGAGGGTGCCAGGTCTACTGGAACTGGGGTACAGCTGACTGTGAGATGCCAAGTGGGTGCTGGCACTCAAACTGGGGTCCTCTGAAAGAGCAACAAGTGCTTTTAACTGCTGACCCCTCTGTCCAGTCCTGAGATTTAAATCTTGACGATGGGGTGGAAACAACACATATTCAGTAGAAATTGCACCTGGAATTTTAAATTATGATTTTTTTCTTATGCTGACAATTGAGATCCAATCACTTCTTGGCGTGCTGGTCAAGGGTGGTGAACTTAAGCTGTCAGTCAGCCATCTGTTCACATGTAATCATTGAGATTAAACCAGAGATTGTACAGGATTCTGAATTCAGTAGTATACTTGAGATATTCTGCATTTTATCAAGTATTTCCTTTTGGTTTGGCCCAACTGTTTGCTAATATGTTTGAGTATGATTACAGTAGACTAAGGTGTAATGTTCAGTAAATAGGGTTATTAAATGCAATATCAACTTACAATGTGTTTATCAGGATGTAAACACCTAAGTCAGTTTAAAAGACTAGAATTTTGTGGATATTGGGATACAGTCCTGCAACTCCAGCTGTTTAGGGAGCTGAGACAGGAAGATCGGAAATTCAGGGCCTGTCTGGACTATATGCATAGTTAGAAGTCAACCTGGGCAACTTAGAGTCTGACTCAAAATAAAAACCGAAAAATGAGGAATGGTACAGTGCTTGCCCAGCATGTGAGACCCTGGATTCAATCTTCAGTGCTGTA